CAGTGTGTATGTTTACATAGAACCTCGATTATCCGAACTAATTGGGATCAAAATGGTTCGGATAATCGAAAGGTAAAGTAATTAACTTAATCGCAGAAAAACAAATAAAAAACGATGCATCACTAGTTCGGATAACTAAGGTTTATAAACAATTAATGATATCTAATCGTTTATAATACAAAATTTTGTCACATTGAAATTTCACGAATGTTTGCATCAATACCCTGCATCGCAAACATTAAATATTTATCATGAAATCTCATCGTTCACTAAGAAATAAAAAACTAGGCGCAGTAACTTTATTACAGAAGTGCAATTTTTATTGAAATATCTCGTATTACCTTATACTACAATAGCATAACGAACATACATGAATTATTAAATACATAACAAATTTACAAAATTAATAATAACACAAATAATACTTGTGTATAATATTTATTCTGTATTTTCATGTAGGTATACATAAATATAATATTAAATTAATACTTATACAAGTATTAGAAGGTTTAAAGCAAGAAAATAATAAATGTGATTAAATACAAATGGAATACATGTACAAAAAATCGAAGTTCATATGGATAAGTGTAGAGAAATTTTGATTTCAATCAATGAAGAGGAGAACGATATGGCGATACCCAAAAATGATATGAGTGTAACGATATATTAAGTATAAAATATATAATCGATAATCTACTTATACGATAAAGTTAACATTTTTTTATTTATATTAAATTGTCCAATAAATGCGTGCGATTTTTTGTAAATGCGATACTTTTGTTTAAAAATGTTCGATAACGTTTCTGTTGCAATAAAATATACATAAAAAAGTAACTTCTATTGAAATTAAAAAAAATTCATCATTAAATAAAAACCGAACGAACTTATTGGATAACCTAATACGATATCCAATATTGACATGAATAATTTTCGAAAACTTCATTTTTGTTATAAAGATAAGAAATTGGTATAGCTGAAATATATTTTGAAATTATTAACCCCAGTAAATACTTATTATAATTCGAGTAATCATTAAAACATTCTTAAAGGAATCCACGTTATTTTGGACTAAATTATTAATATAATATAAACAACGAAGAAAAACAGTAATTGTTTATTATTGTTTTACAAATACAGACTCAACTGAATAGCAAAACACATGGAAAAGAACAAACAATTGTAAATGTTCGAATGCTTCAAAATGTATCAATTTGATAATCAATCTTTATCTTCTTTTTTTTAACGTATTTCAAAATAATTAATATTTCTTCAATAATTAATTCGTAAGGACGTATCTAATACAACGTTTTGTTCTTTTGTTCAAAAGTCTCTTCATGGCTAAAATAATTTACATACATAGTATATACTAACATACCTTATACGTTTGTATTTGATACATCTAACGAACCTACTTGCAATTTCTACTCTACAAGTATTGCTTGACATTCAATAGCGAAAGAGCTAACGGTGTACAATGTGTGTTCAACATGGTGCATGTCTCAGACCACCCACACACTGACGGCAAAACTGAGAAAGTTTTGAAAAGAAATTTTAAAAAATAAACTAAGAAAAGAAATAACATTCAATAGTTCTTTTGCCAAGCGTTGCAATTTTGTCGTCAGTATGTAAATGGCCTAATGTAACTTCGTCGCAAACAGAACCAATTTTATTGTTGATTAGTATATTCATATGATATAAAAAATTTGTTCGCAATTACGATATCAAACCTTAAGTAACATTGCGGAAGCGATAAAATCATTAAAAGAAAATTTCCTTGAATACAAAATTATTTTCTAACAGAAGTGTAAAAATAAAGAAATTCCAATTTCGATTTCATTTTCAAGTTATTAACGATTAAAATCCACTATTAATAACAACTTGTGAGTCAGTTTTCTGTACTGCCCCCGGCGCGTTACGCCATTGTCCGCGCTTGTACTGATCTGCCTCACCTTTTCCACTATTGGCGGATCGTCTTTGTTCAGAGAGATTTTTCATTGTTAATAACTTGAAAATGAAGCCGAAACCACAATTTCTTTACTCTTGATTTTCGTCTTATATTGTCATGAAGAATCGCTTCTCAAATTTTCTCCTATTTATTGCCGAACAACCTGTCTAATACAAGAAATATTAGTTCCTAAACAATGTATTATGAATTATTTTTATGTATATTTAACGTATATTATTTTTCTCATACTCGAACCAATTATATTGTCTTCCTTTTTATCGTACCTATTGTGATAATTCTATACCTTGATTGCTTTATGTTTTATATTTACTACTCTCGAGAATGATTAACAATAATCACTAACGCCCATGAAATAAACAGGATTCAGTTATTATTTGATATTTAACTAATAATAACAGCTTATTATTAGTTAGTAATAAAATAACTGTGTTTTCGACAACAGTTCTTTACAAATTTGTTACACGTATCATAATTCTGCTCCAGATACTGTTCGTGGTGAAGTTACATTATACGCATACGGAACACGTCTTATGTAATGCATATATGAATATAATGAATATATATAAATATATATAAATGTAATGTATTTCTTCACATGCAACACTTCATGCAAAACATATTTCAGTTATATAAATGTGTTATAATATCATCACGTTAACGTCACCCGAATCAAACGAGCCAGCGAGATACTATAGAGCAGAAAAACAGTTTTATTTTCGCACTTATTGGCTGACTATCATGTGAATAAAAATGAAGAGGAAAATGGCGAGCGAGTAAGAAACTTCAACATGAACATGGCACTTGTGCGATTGGTGCGCGGATCTTATGGAGGGAGCGTCGTATTTAGCTTGGCTTGCAAATGAATGATGGAATAAGAGAAAATATATCACATACGTTAATTACACACAAAGGCTCGCTCGTCTTTCTTATATCTCCCTCGCTCATCGTTCGTGAAACGCGACGTTAACGGAACGAGACTATACTTCTAAATGAATGTTTTATAAAAAATGAAATTTTAATTGAATTTTATACCTCGTACAGTTTGATGCGTAATTTACTACGTTGTGCACATTTTTGTATTGTTTACAATACATATTATTTAAATTATAAGAAGAGAACGAAGAGTCACTAAACTTTTCTTGTTTACCACAGTTCTTGTTTAAATTAAAACAATTAGATGCAACGTCTAATTATATTTGAAAATTTTCATCATAATTGAAGGGCATTTCAAATACTAAATTAGATGGTGAAATATGTAAGCAATAGAACGTGCGCCGTGCAATTGGTCATAGAGACAATAATGCAACTATAATATAAATAACTAACATGGTCGGTTAATTTTAATAAATATATCTTTTTGATTGGAATTATTAACTTTAAATCATTCAAAAACATTAGATATACTGATTTCGTTTAAAGTTGTGAAAAGAAAACAATGCAAATAAGTAAATATTTGTAATATTCATTAATTGCAAAAATGTAAATATATCCTTCGAAAACTTTAAAAAAATTAGCCAATTCTTTATCATTTTAAGCGTTTTAAAATTGAAATCATAGAATAAATAATAACAGTTAAATAAAATAGCATATTGTACTTAAGTAATCTTGATATTTTTTAAATATTCTGTCTACAAAAAATTGGAATTTCTTTTTTCGCTTTTGTAAATATTGATCTTTTTAGTTTCCTAAAAATTTCACCTTAAATGTGTCTAAGATTTGCAGACATGTATTATTAATATGGTTTAAGATAAGAATGATGAACTTTTTCTTCCCCATGACTCACCACAAGTTAATAGATTTAGCAAATGATTGATTGATTATTATTACTGCTATTGTTTAACCACAATTAGCACAGAATAATACAAAAGCGAAATTACAGAATCCTATAAACATTAGCAAACAAACCACATATTATATAAAATATTTGAATATCTGGACAAAAATAGAACATGCAAAGTTGAAAACAACAAAATTCAGAAAGTCTCAAAAAAATGATGTCAAAATTTCAAAATATCTTTCTCGAATAAATTTTTATGAACCTTGTACTACTATGAAGTAATTATATTATAAAAACAATTTTTCAAACAACTTCAGTTTTTCAAGCCTACTATATTGCACTATTATGTATTTGAAATAAATAAAAAAGATAGTATTTGTTTATGTAAATTAAAAAGAATTGTGAATTAAGAGATATTAAGAAAATCATCTTATTTTTTTATTTGATATCACAATATTTAAAGTATTTTCATATACTTACACACCCTAGGCAAAGCAAGATTATTTTTTACATACAAAAGGAAGAATATACTTAAACAACAGACAATAACAAAATTGTTGTATATTGATTACAATTGTTATCATTTTCGTTTGTAATCATAATTATGGTATTTTTAATATTGATTAATCGTAAATATAGAAATTTTTCATTTACTTTATCTTTTATACCTTAAATTGATTTAATCTACCTGAAAAACTTCATGACCACTCAAAAATTCTAAATTATTTAGCGCACTTGTAATACAGAATACAAATAACAAATATTAACTAATTCTTTAACAAAAATTAATGTTGATTCACTTTTAAAAAAAGCACTGGACAATTCTTAAATTACATGATTTTCTAAATCAAAGCAAATGATAAACACTATACTTATAAAATATTTTTAAAAATATTACCTTTACATGAATCTAACACTGTTTTATTATAAAACATGACTGATGGACAATTAGTTGTCTTCCTTTGAAACAGATTACGTAAATGTGTCTTTAAAAACAAAATCCTTCTGGATTGAATTGAAGTTGCTATCACATATAAGAATGTTAAAATCATCTTGAGAAGAGTATATTCCTTTTAATAACTGTACAATCACTTCGTCATAAATATCTGAAACAGAGAATAGCTTTTTCTTAACAAAATTGTTTGGTGAATCTTATATGCATGTACTGTTTGTATAATGTTAATTCCATGCCAAGACAGTGTTATGTTTTAATATGTCTTAGTATTATTTCATTAAACTAAAGAAAATTTTAATTAGAACTTGATTTGTGTCTTAAGTATTATGATCTAACATCAGACTACCAACTTTAAAATCTTACTATTGCAAAAGTTAACATGGTCTGAGTTAGATAACATGATTTTCATAGCGCCTTAGCTTGTTATACTCTTATAGACTCTAAATTCCTCGAATATGTTAAATTTTCAAAACAAAATGAATAACTGTAATCAATAAACAACTTCTATCAAAAGTTTTGAACAATCCTTTTAGACGTATATAAATAATTATCTACTATTGAAATTACAATGGTTGGTCTCATAGCTATAGCATTATGCTCATTGAAATCAATGAAGATACATTGAACTCTATCCTAACTGTTGAATGTTTCATTTATCAATTTAACATTAAATGCTGAAAAGAAATAATTACATATCTCAGTTTACAAGATTGTACATCTCAGAATTATAAAAAAGTTTGAAGTATTTAATAATATGTCTCATCATTAAAATAAATGTTACAAAAAGTTTAAAAAATACAATTACTTAAAACTGCTTTGCTTAAAATGCACTTCATCTTTCTTTAAACAATATAAATTTATATACATATCAATATAATGTAAGGAAAAGAAAGATATTATGTAAGTACTCTTTCTTCATTCTTTACAGGAAAAAAAACAGTTCTTAAGAAATAATCAATAAAAGGAGAAATTTGTGTAACAATTCAAATAAAAATCTCATTAATAATTCAATTAAAAAATGAAAACAAAACTACTTGCAGTTTCCAACATTTTAAACAATGTAATTTAATACATTATTCCTTACTACACATTAAACTTAACCTGTAAAAATATGACACACTTTCCTATCTTTGGAAGAAAACATGTACTACTGATCTTATGTTATAATAAAGAACTGTTGTACTGCATTAAATTTTCTACTTCGTTTTACAAAATAAATGTTTATTGCAGATCGTTCATTAATAAATTTCTTGATTAATTATCAAACAATCAAATTCTTAACAGTAACATTTCAAATAAGAAGAAAATATTACGTACCTATATTCAAAAACTACACTTCTTATATGAAGCTAAAAATGAAACGATGCACTATTAGTAACTTTTGTTGCCATTTTACACTGATAAACTATGACCATTGATTCTACCACACTCATATGTCACTGAATTCAGAACCATAGACTTAAAATCTATACAGACTGTGTATACAATGTATGCACTACTACTATTCTGAAATACCGACACTGTCGAAAAAACTATAGCACCAGCGGTGTCTACACGAATCGAACAAGCATGGTAAAATAATAGCCACAGACCACAGACTTAAAATACGTAACGCAAGTGTGTGTTCAATTTTTGTTTCTTCTAATTCCTATCACTTATAGCGCTGCCATGCAAAACCAATCTAAGTCGATATGACAGGGAGTGATAGGAAAATGGGAAAGGGGTACTAGTACCCCCTAGAGCATGTGACAAAATTGTACTTTGCATGTTATGTCTATCCTATGCTTCGTCTGCCCTTATATATTATTGTCGATAATGCAGCTGTTAGTGCCATTAATTGGTAAAACAAATTCCTAATATTATCCAACACAGGATGTCGATAATTTCAAGTCCTCTGAAATTTAGGCCAAGTACAATGGTAATATACCTACGTAAAAAATAAAAATACACATATTTTAATAACAAATTCTTTTTCACTCCACATAGACTTACAACTGCTCGAGACTTCTCACAGAATTTTATTATATTTAACAATCAAACAATTTATTGGAAAAAGGATTAACATAAGTTTTCCAATAAAAATAAATTTTAAATAAATTATTAAAGAAAAAATCAAATAATTTCGTCAGTTCCGTTTTTCCATATATTAAAATTCTATTTCTAAAGTCAATTGAAACCTTTTATCTCCAGATCTCCTTTATTAATCCCAACAATCGAACTAAAATAATTATTATTCTGGAATGTATGTAATAAGAAACATTAATCACATTTTCCTTTATAAAACGATGGAAAATCGAATTAGCTCCTGGAAAGCGATTCCCGCTGGAAGCTCATCTGTTCTCAGGGAGAACTATCACGATAGCAGCAGCCTGTTGATGAATGTTCTCCGCGTTGAACAAACCGATTCATCAAATCATCTGCAGCGCCTTGATTTTATTGCACCCGATCGCACCTATCTGAAGATTTACCGTTGCAAGTCTTCTCATAAGACACGGCAATAATACGAACGCAACATCCGTCGGTGAATCGTGAACAACGGAGTTGGATTTATGCAAGCTACGCAACATGCAGTTGCACCATCCTCTAAAATGTTAAGACGAGCAACTTGTACCTGAAGTTTATCGTGATTAAATCTGTTCCATTCTCGACACTAGTGGATAGCTACCTGTGCACTAATAGAGAAGATTTAAAGCCCAATTTAAACGCTTGTACAAAGTTTCCAACAACGTAAACATTTGGTGGTAACAATTATATTATGTTAAATAATTCTACATCTCACTATGTAATTGTATTAATGCAACCAATTTAAAATAGATAAATAAATAAATAAATAAGCTGGATATTAGATAATTTAATATAACTGAAAAGATAACTGAAGCTTTTAATAGCGGATTGTAGAAATTTTTGAAAAGTGAAGTAACTCAATAAATTATTAGAAATAATATCTCTGAATTACATTTCCAACTGTTTCCAGATAAAATTTGAATTTCCAGATGAAGATTTGGAAATGTCTCGGTTTGATGAAGCATTGAGAGAGCGAAAAGGTGAAGATTTGTCCGTCAGCTCAATTAAAACAAGTATCTGCGGGTGCGCGTCGAATTATTCGATTTCTTGTGTTATTACTGAAACGAGGTTCAGAGGTACGAAGTTTTGAGAATTCCGTGGACAAATACTATTGAAGGGGAAACGAGCAAGTGAGAATTTTATCGGGTTAAAAATAATTCCGCTGAGAGTAGTGAAAAATAAGCAGCTAAGGAAACTGCTTTTACCTAAGTGACAAGTCGCTTCAACTCTAATGAAACTTTCAAGAGAAAATTCTGAAACCTAGGGAAACCCGTGGATCAGTCCCTTCGATGATACCTGTTAGAATAATTATGGCCGGAAAACGTAAAGGACAATCGACATTTCTTGAACACTTAATTTCTCTAAATTACTCGAGATATTCGTGAATAAAAAAGTAGCCGAAACAATATTTAATGTCTAGATTTGATATTGCCATTTCTAGCATGTCACTTCATGTGTCTTCAATGTTCTTCTGTAATGTTTGCGAATGTGGTCAGAATTTTTAATGACGAAATAATGGAAACCAAGATTAGGAAAATGTTTGTCGAAGGTTCTGTGAATAAGTCGAAAAATTAGTGGTTATGGAAGCCCGTCAAGGTGTAGAATTTATAACAAGACGAGTTTCACTCTAAATTTCTAGATAAGGAATGATTTAATGTGTTAGTAAATCACTGTTATATTCTCAGTTGCATAGTAATAATACATAGAAGATATTAGAAAATATCATCGCACTTATTGCTAATAGTTTAATGAAAACTTTTTACGTAAGACTTTCAACTAATTCCTCGTGCACCGAAAGTACCATAAAATGTATCATTAGCCCGGCAACTTCTTATTTGATTTACATTTTTGCCTTAAAAGGTTTCCATATTGCGTCATAGCCTTTTGTGTCTTTCCGTGCCTCATTAAAGTATTATCTCCTTTCCATCTTCTTTGTATTATAATTAATTCATTTAGCAAGTGACGGAACAAGTTTCAGTAGTGTAAGTCCGCCATTCGCTGGACAAGTCTTTCTTCCACGAAGAGCAGGATCAAAGTATCCAACTCCAATTTTTTTTATATTTACTAATTTATCGAATTAATTGAAATAAAAAGAGAGAAAGATTCTCAAGTAATAAAAGTCTGAATTAAAGCGAATTCATGCTGGTTTCATTACGGCTGAATTATTCAATGAACCTGTACAGATCGAGAGTGGACGAAACTCAAAGAACTTTAACCTTTAAGTAGATGAAGAAACTTTAAAATATAATTTTCAATTAAATACTGTTACAAATTAGATACGTATATATTTCAAAAATTTTTTGTTTAAAATATTATGTCATAATCCGGTAAAACGAAAAAAGAAACGAAATCACGGGCGACGAAATTATGGTTTTGGCTTCGTTTTCGGTTTATCAATGATTCACGATATGTCTGATCTACGTCGATTCGTTAATTACGGTTCACTCGAAGCAGGTCAGCATCAGTGCCGAAATTAGCATCCACTATGATGAATTTTAATTGTTAATTCCTTGAAAATGAAGCGAAAATTGGAATTCCTACCTTTTTCATTTTTAACTTACTTCAGCTTACGAAATGAACCCTTCAAATATCAGTTGCACGTGATCAATCACATTTTATACGTTTGTGCTTGAATCGTTGTAAAATATGAAATAATTGATATACACTTTAGTTAAACAATCGTTAACCGTAAACGAAGAAAGCGGTATAAATGACAAATGAAAAATTCATTTCCGTAAATATTAATTGAATTCTAATGTTAATGACGTAGCCCTGTAAATATTAAATATTATTTACAATAGGACGCAGTGCACATATTTACCTGTGCTATGCCCGGGTCCAGCACGAGGCATAGTTTGCACCTCATCGATGATGCTAGTGCCCATGGGACGAACTTTATGAGTTCACTGTAGCTTGTACATCGTTAATATAAACGTCCACCGTGCGTCAATTGATACACCAGACTACATTTGGTCAAACCACTATGGATATATACGAACTGTAAATTTCAGTAGTTAAGAAATATTTGAAACTACCCTTTAGTTCTAACAGTAAGAATATATTTAATTATTTATAATTATCATGTACACGGTTATTCGAAAGTTCTAAGTGTACTACAATTTAGTGTTCAACAAGTAAATATATCTTTATGTAACTAATATTAAAAATTATATTTCTTTTCCAGAAAAATCTGGAAATGCATTAATAAACATTCGAATGACAATAGATTGAAACGATTTTTAAGCGTCAGTTTATAGTTTGTAAAAAGTAACAAAATTTAATAATAGTTCATATAATAGTTAACACATAGCCAACCGAATGGGAAGATCTCATTTCCTCTTAACAACGCACTACCATTTATATTCTGTATTTTTCTGTTGTTATCTAGTAAGTCTTAAACTGAGGATATCTGCAAATCAATAACTACCTTCTTTCGTTTTGTAAAAAAACATATTTATTTCTCGAAAGTTCTAAAAGCTGGTGATAAAGAAAATTGAAACTACATTGATAACAGCTCCAATTTCGATAAGCGAGCTGTATTGTACGTCGTTTAACAGAAACTGCGGAGGATATGAATAACGGTGGTCCATAATTCAGCGGGGAACACCGTACAATTACGTTGATAAATTGTAGCATATAGTCGCGACAAAAAACGTTTGATGGACGACACGAGAAAGTGTGTTTCATAAGAATACGACCGAGTTATACATCACCGGGCGGAGCTCGCCGTTGTTTCGGAATTAATTGAGCCGAGTTTAAATAAATTCCACGCCACTCGATGTAACTTCGTTACTCGCGACTAATTAATGGAGATGAAAGGTATTGTTTCCTCCAAAGAATTGATACGGTCCATGAACGCCGGCGCAATCGGTTTAACCGTTCCCCTGTTAATTCGTTTCAATTAAAACGGATTATCCGGCGCTTTGCTCGAACTTCGACACGAATTACCTTTTACATGCTCCGTCAAACGACGAATAATATTATTAGATCATTTATGCGTTTAACATATAAAATCGTTGTCTGCATTTAATAAATAATAATATGAAATTATTGATTTCTAATAAAATTTTTAATATATTGATTGATATAATCATATTTTCACTCATTTGACGCTTTAGTGACACGAGAACCGAATAATATGCTTGGTACAAGTTAAATATCCCGTTACAAATCGTGTAATCGAGAAGCAAGAATGTTCAGTAATGGATAGTCAAGTGGTTAGGAACATTTGCAGTAAAGCAATTTCCAGAATCGATTTACTCGGAAGACATATATCAGAAAGACGTCATTCTGCAGTTTGTATTTAGCTTCCCTTTTGTATACTAAGTCGTATGATCTTTGAATGTAAACTTTCTCGTAGAATATAGCTCGCAATCCTTACTTTCAACGATTTTTCGTTAACATGTCCATTATATATTCAAAAATAACCAACATTAAT